TAACACACACAGTAACACACACAGTTACACATACACACAGTAACACACACAGTAACACACATACACACAGTAACACACAGTAACACACACACACAGTGGAGCGATCAACAAAGTGAGACAAACAGCCAGAGTGGGGCAGAGGGAAGGGCTGGCTCAGCTGACAAACTGAACAATCTAACTGAACAACGCTGTGAATGGAGACAAGTGCTGAATCAGTGGGTCACACACACACACACACACACACTGACAGAGTGTGAAGGCAGAGCAGAGTGCGTGACCCTGCTGCAGCCTGTGTGTGTAAAACGCTGCTTCAGCTTTGCTGCTGAGAGCGAACAAGGCCGACACGAGAAAGAGAAGGCCCGCCGGGGCGCCGAAACGCCAAAGAAACGTGTGTTTCTGGGTCAGGACTCATGTGACACAACCTGGTGCATGTCTGTGTTTCCTTCACACACTTCCTGATCTGCGTTTGGCGTCTCTGTGCCGTCAGCCCGTCCTCATGAGTCATGCAGCGCCTCATTTCCTGCCACATATCCACGATCTAGAAAGGTATCCAAAGCCTGGAAAACAAACAAACAGCCAGTCAGATGTGTCGTCTCGTTAGCAGCTCAGTGCTGCTTTAAATATTAATGACAGCAACAAACGCTAATGTGTTTTCATTCGCAGCATTAGCACACTGATGCTGCACAGCTGCTCTGTGGCTGGGGTTAAACAGCTCAATGAAATATTATCACCACCGTAATACGGCCAAGTGCAATATTACCACTTCTACCATGTGTCACAACATGCTGCTGTTCTCTATAATTAAAGCCTCCTCGTCATCTCTTCACACAGACGGGAACACGCTAGTTTACCGCCAATCACCGCACATACGACATCCTCAGCTTTATATGTCAGTGGAAACAGAATCAGCCGTCAGCCTGAAGCTTTCAGAACGTCGGTATATGTTGTTGTTTTTGTCACTTTTATATGTGCAGCACTTTATACATACATTTATTATTATTATTGTTGTTTTGTTGTTGTTGTTAAATCTTCCCACATCTGAGGTTAGCATGTTAGCATGTTGTTCACAAAGTGCAGCAGAAGTGGGCATGTTTTCCGTCTAGCATTTATTTAGTAATAAACTGAAGTTCTGGGGCTCACTGAGGCCCAGAGGTTTCTCCTCTGAGCAGTCTGTCCAGCAGGTGTGAAGGTCTGCCAGGTGTTTCTGATCAGTTACTTATCAGTCAGGACATCTGGTGGAGTTTTTGTGTGAAAGACAGATTGTAGAGCAAACAAATCAAAAAACACCCGACGTAAACTGAACGATGTCCACGTCAGTGGATGGAGGTCATTCATCAGCACTCTGGTGGTTCTGTTCCTGCCGTTCCTCGGTACAGCTGCTACGAGTCCAGATGTGTGACTGACTGAAACTAATGTTCCCTGCAGGCCTTTAATGCTGGACGACGGCTCACCCAGCCCTCCGGCCTCCAAGTTCAGCCATAGCCACCCGATGGAGGCCATGCACGAGCCCTTCTACATCCAGTCGGTGAGGAAACATGCACGTTGCAGCCCTCTAACAAATCACACAGCTGCAGGACAGTGAGGTGGCATTAAATTGGATCTTGATTTTGGTCACATGTAGACTCGTTTACAGACTTTTTTCTCCATAACATCGTCATTGATACTCCATTTGTTCCTCAATGACACATTTTGCTGCAAACTGCAATGAGTGAAGTGCTGTGCTGCTGCTGACCTTCCACATTCAGCACAAACCCTGCTGGCAGCCACTGCGACTGTGAAGCTACTGGCTGGCCTTTCTGAGCGCCATGGTGGGAGTTTTCCTTCAAAGTCATTTGATGGAGCTCAAATCATTCCGAATGCAGAAGCAGCCACGTTCACTGGCCCTACATTTAAAGCCTACTTAGAACCTGTTGTCCATGTGAGTCCTCTCACAGCCTGCTGTTACGCTGTAGAAACACCAGAGGGCAGCAGTGTGCAGTGACAGCCCTGAACAGCTACAGATGTGCTGTAAGCCGCCCTCTGTGGGTTATAAAACCCAACCTTGGGTTGAAGTGAACTGACTGTATTTGTGTTCTGGTTTGCCAAGGACTGTCACGTAAGTGTTTCATCACACAGAGCAACAGAAGCAGCTCAGCAGTCTCGTACCAAACAGATAGGAAGGTGCAAATGCCTTCAGTCCCTTTATGTACTCATTTAAGGAGCTTTAGGGCTGTTAAAGTCGCCTCATTCCTCCCTGAGTGACAGCAACAATGTGGTCCAGCTCTCCATTAAATCTATATGACGATGGCACTGGGTGGTACACGGCATACGCTGTAGAACAACCTCACCGGCGGGACGTGTGCTGTGAGGTCAGAGCTAAATATTTGATGTCAGAATGTTCCTTCCCAGACCTCACATGACACCACATGTACACGCCGTCTTCAGGCGAGCTTCACATAGCGAAACATTCACCACAGTCACAGCTGTTCATTTTCATTTTTATGTTAGTCTATATTCAGAATTTGCATTTCAATCAATAGAAAAATGAATCTGATAGATTTTAATATGTCATCTGAGGGTCATTTGTGAGCTGTGACGACGGTTAGTGATCAGCCAAACGTGTTCAGCTGATTGCTTTTCGTTTTTCTTCACATGTAACTGTTGACTCATGCAGTCGTGCTGAATCTCAGCCTGTTACAGATGTTGTTCTACACCAGACGTGGAACAATACTCAGATCTTTTACTTATATGTAAAGGTACCAATAATACTCTTTTACAAGTGAAGCTCATGCATTTAAATGTAACTAAAACACTGAAAATACCAAAGCGCTCATCATGCAAATGACAGGTTTCTAAATGAAGTCCATCGTTCATGCATCCGTGTGTCAGTCACAGTAATGATGAAGGTGCTGAAGAGGATTGAACTGCTTCAGTTCCTGTATTTGTTGGGCAGCCTGTGAGCGTCTGCTCAATAGGGATCAATCAGGGTTTATGATCAGTCAGAATTCTACACAATCATTTCTCAATCATAGAATTTGTATGAATAAACTGAATGTGTGAAGTAGCTGGTAGCTAGTGTTACTGAATCAATACAGAAGAGTAAAAAGCACAGTTCTGCCTCTGAATTTTTGGAAAGGGAAAGTTTAAAGTAGGAGAAAATAGAGAACACACAAGCAAAGCACCAGAGCAGCAGCATCACTCCGTGAACAGATCGTGGTCGTACACCAGGTCCTGTTGGGCCCAGTTGCCAAGCAGCACCTTTATAGAGACTAACACTGAAAGCTGTGTTGATTTTTTGTTTGATGAAACTGATTTTGGTCCAGCAGTGCCAAACCTGTTATTCCATTCTGCAGGATGTAAATCAGTGATGCTGGTTATTGAGCACACATGAGCAGCACGATGGAACCGAGGGCTGAACATGGAAGGATGAAGCAGCACAAACACAGCTCACACTCCTCTCTGTCTGTCCTCAGCCATCCAGTGATACTGCTTCCTGCTCCACCGGTGGGCTGACAGGAGGACCAATCATATCAGACGTTACTGACATGTCTCAGGCCAGCATGGCCCTTCAGATGCAACCTGATGAAACCAGGTGAGTGAGGCAGGAGGTCTGCTGCTCTGCTCACATGCGCTGCAGTTCCTACAGTCACCACCTCTGACACACAGTCCTGCCCGAACAGGGAGAAGTGCCTGATGCTCATTAAGGAGGAGCCTGTGAGTCCAGGAGTTAGAGGAGGAAAAGGAGGCGGTGTGGGGGGAGGAGAGGCTGTGGCGCTGGCCTCCTCCTGTGAGGTGTGCTCCTCCGAACCCCCCGTCCTCCCTGTCGCAATGGTCCAGTCTGTTCTGGAGGGGAGGGGCTCAGCGATGGGGGAGAGGAGGAGTAAGAGACCAGCCCTGGACAGGTAGGCGCCCCCAGGTGGACAGAGGACACGATGTTCATGCTGACAGATCTAACCTGCACAGCGGTGTGAGAGCTGAGCGTCTGTGTGCTACATGTGACTGTGTGTGTGCAGGGTGGAGGTTCCAGACACCGTGGAGAACGTAGACATGAGTCTGGAGGAGCTGCAGCAGCTGCTGCTCAGGAGCCATCAGCAGAGCGCCGTGGAGGCTGGAGGCAGCGCCGTCATGGACGTCAGTGGACCTGCATGGACACACACACACATGTAGAGACTAGTCGCTTACAGATGAAGCCAGTGAACTGAATTCTGACCTCGTACTGATCTGAGCGCATGTTGGTCTCCCTCCTGTTTCTCTGCAGCCTTTCAGTTTAAGCCTGCCTCTGACTGAGTGGAACTTCACAGAGATGGAGTCCAACCTCAAATCAGTAAGTCTCAGAGTGTGACTTGTGTTTCCATGCTGGCAGCTTCTCTGTTTCACTACAGGACAGAATGAGGCCCCCTGCTCACTGATCATTATGACGGTCGTGTGGAGGACTGTGTTCGACACGAGGCTGTTTAGTCTGCAGGTAGCTGGAGGTCTTCTGAACACCAAAGGACTCTATGAACGAGGAACAAGCAGCACTGAGCATGTCTGGCACTTCATGAACAGACTGTTGTCTCTCTGGCTGCAGCGATAATGTCTGTCCTCCCCAGAACCATCCTGAAACCTGCAAATGCACCTTCTCACCACCTGGAAGCGCTGCAGCACGCTGTAAACACTAAGCTGACAAACGGTTAACACGACTGCTACCTCAGCTGTAAACAGCTGACATCAGAGCAGTGAGTAAACAAAACAGCAAAGCTGGAGGCATTCAGATGTTTTAAAAATGACTAAAATATGCTTGAAGCTGCTGTGGAGCTGGTTCATAATTCAGGATCGGTGGTTAGCTCTGTCGCCTCACAGCTAGAAGATGCCTGGTTCGGGTTAGGCCTGGGCCTGGGATCTTTCTATTGGACTTCTCATCGGGTTCTCCGGCTTCCTGAATGACATAGATGTCGTACTTTAACAGATAAATGAACCTAATGGTGCATGAAGACTGGCATTGCGACAGAACAGTCAGTTGTGTAGCTGAGGAAGATGTGACTGTCCAATGTGACCCTTACAGGTGCTAGAAACTCGTGCTCCTGGCGGTTTTTTACTTCCAGTGTCAGAGCTCTGGTCCTGACGGACCATGGACCTCCAACAGTCTTCATGTGAAAACCTCTTACAAACAGCAACTGTCACAGGAAATGTTCAAAACACCTCATTAATATTCAGAAGCTCTCCAAAAATCCTCTGAATCTGCATTTTCAAGATTACTTTGAAGAGAAGTGAGGTGGGAACTCGGAGCCATGAAACAATGGCAGATGTTTCTACAAACCAGAGAAGCATGTGAAAGTGGACCTGGTGGCTGAGCCTGGGTGTCCCACAGCAGCAGCTCCTCACTGAGTCCTGCCCTGAGCTGCCTTCTTCAGCCGTCTCATCATGAAAGCTTTTTCTTTTTCTGTGATGAGGAACTGGGGGCAACACCTGTCACATCTGTCACAAGAGTGGCTTCAGATGTTAAATCCCTCCATCATGTAGTCTTCAGTGCGTATGAAGACAAACCTGTTTCAGCATGTTTTAGACAAACTGAGTTAAATGGAAACACTGGAAGTTTTTACCTGCCAGCTGCGTCATGTCTTGCATCACTGGACAGTCAGAGCTCTGTTGGTCGAGTTAACTGTCTGCTAATTGTCACTAATCACATGGTTTGACCCCCAGGCCTTCCATGTGTCTTTGGGCAAGATATTGAATTTCTGAGTTGGCGAGCAGCATGTGTGGCAGTTTTCCCACCACTGGTGTGTGAATGGATGAATGAGAAACATAATGTAAAGCCGTGAAGGAGGGTGGACGACGGGCAACCAAAACAATGACATAATATCATGTCCAGGCGCTCGAGGTAGGTTTGAAAAGCCAGATGTCTGAATTTTAGTGGGATTCAGACAATAAACAACAGAAAGCATGCCACTGGGATCTGGAGACTCAAAGCAACAGACTTACAGTAATCATAGATGCAATCATCACAGGTACTGAGACGGCTTCCTCTCTGGTCTCCATCACACAACTCAGACACTTTCCTATAGAAGGATGCTGCTGGACAAAATTCACGATGGGAAGAAAACCTCAACATAAAACCACAAATACAGACGCATACAAGCAATGGTGATGTCAGTGTACAAGATCTTAAAGCAAGACATTGGGCTGAGCACAATTTATAGAGCTTTAGAGAGAAAACACTACTTTTAGGAGACAGAAGAAAAGAAAAGAAAACCCCTACGGAGCCACCCAGGTATGAACAATAAGAAAGGTTAAAGGTCCAATCCCTTGTTTAGCTGGGATAACTGGCGGCCCTGAGGGACTCGACCCAATATGCCTCTCTTTGTTCGAGGCGTTGGATTTTATCCCTACCCCTGGCACCAGAGCTAATAACTCTCTTGGGGTCCAATCATCCCCATGAAGTGATTCCATGTAGTCTTTGTCCACAGGACAGTTCAGATGTCCAACACCAGACGTATACGTACCTTCAGTCTCTAGGAGTCCTTTAGTGACGGTTTACGCAGAAACAGGCACGAATGCATTCAGGTCTGTACACGACATGGCTAGCACTACAGTTCATCACACTGGTGGTAGGACACTGAACACAGTGCTCAGCAGTCAGACAATAACTGGAGTTACCAGGGTCATGTTTCAGAGCAGCAAGGTCACCCCCGACTGTTTCATCTGTCATCCCTGGAGTCCTTATGAAAGTGTCCTTCTCATGGTATGACAGGTTTTCTTTATGTTTGATCTGGACAGCTCCTGTGCTGTAGTGAGGTTCCTGGTTTGTACAGCAGCTTGTCCATCAGGTGAACGGTGCTGTATGTGTTTTACCGTCAGTTTGTTGGGCTCCAGGAGGAGAAGATGCTGTCAGAGCAGTCTGAGAAGCCGTGAACACCACAGTCAGTTTCTGTTCACACAGCATCAATGTTTTCATTGATGTTAAACAGAGCTGCTGGTTCCACAGCAGAAACCCTCCAGAAGAACAAGTGGTGCTACTGCAGAGACATAGATTTTCCTCAGTCTCATTGTTTTTGCACAAGCTCATGTAAAAGCGAATCATCAGCAGCAGCAGTTCTCTAAACAGTGGTCGTCATCCAGAACTGTACTTATCTCCATAAGAGGCAGATTTCTTTACGCTCAGAGAGAGCTGACTTCTCCTCCATCTCTGTTTGGTTTTGTTTGTGCAGCTGACAGTCAGCAGTACTCCCAGTAATTAGAGAGCACCTCAGTTTGCCATACGCTGTGTCATTTACCCACAGATCGTCTCCAGGAACCTCTGCTCTGCAGGAACATCTCTTTGCTCCAGAGGAGGATTCTGATGTATGAGTATGTTCCAGTCCTGTGGCTGATGCTCTACACTGAATCGTACTGGACATTCATTTACAACGTCCTGCACTTTAAGGGGCTCAGAAACACAAGTAGAAAACTGAACAGCTGCAACATGTCCAGTGAAACTACCAAAAACAACGGCTTCATTCCTAACTGCCTGGTTTGCTTTTGTTGCTGTTCATTTTCAGTCTTTTACGTTAGGATCAGTTCAGGACAACACCAGACAGTAGTACCAGGGCCACGGCTACGTCCTGGTGTCCAAGGACCCGTTCACATCTAGTATTTCACACCAGCACTTAAAGCATAAACTGTATGATTCCTGAATGAAAGTCCACTGCACACTGAAATGCTCCCCAGCCTCCATGAACGGCTCCATGATTGATGGACGTACAGCGACGCGTTGACGTCTACATGCATTTGTTGTGTGACGCTAATGTTTTACTATTCGCTGTCTGCAGCAGGGCTTCAGGTGATTAATCTGTGTTCTGTCACAGTACATGTTCCAGAACCAGGAAGCAGAGGCTTTTCCGGCTGCCGGCTGTGAGGAGCAGTGAGTGTGTGCTGCCAGCTGACGTGGAAGGTACAACGTTCACAAAACATTCTCACAGTTTTACTTATTTCAATGTGATCAAGTGTATCCGGGCTTCATCAAACTAATGCATTGGTTTTTGTGCTGAACTGTATTAAATGTCCAACGTTGTCGCACCAGGGAGACATGATTCCATCAGTCCAGACCTCATACGTGTGCACATGGAGTCCATGTTTTAAATGAGACCAGACGGGCAACACACACAGCATCTATAGCTGTGTTGTCTTTAATGAGAAACGTGCACTGTCCCGGACCGTGCTGATAAAGGCAGCGTCCTGGGTTCAGCCTCCAGATCAGTCAGTCAGCTGTTGTTCCCTCCATGTGTTAACATGGACAGACTCTGTCATCTCCTCTTGTTTCCCTCCTCAGGCCACAGAAGCTGCTGCTACACTCATTAGTCCACCCTGCATGAGCTGATCCACGGCCCTGCCAGGCTGCTTCCTACACGTGGCTTCATTTTATTCTTTACACATCTACATGCCTACAGAGTCAGCAGGCCTCTATAGATGAACTGATCAGAGCTCATGTGTTCTGGTTAGCTGACTGCCATCGCATCCATCAGCCGCCTGCTCTGTGGCCATGACCTACATAGGGAAAGATGCTGGTCTAAGTTTTCCTGAGTTAACCAAACAGACAAGTGTGTTCTGACCTGATTACATCTCGACTCCGACACTGAGCCAGCTGGATGCAGACGGTGCATCTTGGCTCCTGCACTTTAGTCTTTGTTTGAGAGGGCGTTCCTGCTTGTAGAGGTGACTTTTTCTTCCTATAAAACCACGGATGTATAGAAGTTATTATTTCCTATTATTTAAGCCTTATTACCAAAATACTTTTTTGTATCCAAGAGCAAACTTTGGCAAAGGAGCCACTGTGGAAGACAATCTTGGGGAGCAATGTAGCATATTTTGCAAGTTCTGTGCTTTTTCTTCAGTCTGTGCAAAGGTGCAGAAGATGGAAGGGCTTGTAATCTGCTCGATGCAGTTCAAATCATGATAAATGTTGAGATCACTGAGACGTTGTCAGCCTTTGTGATACCAAAGGATTCTCTATCAAGAATATGGATTTCAGCCACGCTGAAGCGCATCACAACCAACACCCATCTAATGCATCTTTGCACAGGCCTGACTCGTAGCCAGAGACGAACTTATTTCACTTCTGTCCATTTAAATGTGAAGTTTCAAGGAAATATGAAAAGACAGACTTCTCATTTGACAAAAGCATGAACACGACTGCATTTTTGCACAATCTGTATCATTAGTTATATATAGTTATGATGACAGGTCATTGATTTTCTGTTTGTAGATGACCAGCACTCTGTTGCTCCATACATACGTGTCTAAAAGAGATCTCAGCCTCCATGGTCTCTGAGACGAGAGGCCCTGAATGTCTCTGCAGCTGTCTGGAACAAATGCGACACACTGACTCACACTGAAGCATAAAACCCTGATGAAACATTCACTGTGTGTAAAGGTGGACAAAAGACATGAGGCATACATTTCTGGAACGGCAGTTTGATGTTCAGTGTTGCAGTTCCAGCCGTCGCCCTCTTGGCAGCGTCTGACTCTACTTGCCCTCCTCGACTGGTTGGTCCAAAAGTGTGCAAAGAGATGGAGCGTAGGTGGAGCTGAGGTGGGCCACACAGACGTCTCCGGGCAATGGACTGTCCGAAGACAATACCCACCTTTTCACTCAAAGACACCCCGCCCTAATTATGCAGAACCTTCAGTACAGTTTAAAGGGCGAGCTTTATAGGGACTCACTCCCTGGGCGCTTGTCAAGAACATGGAAATTAGCAACAGAGACCAAAATCTATTGTTGTTCCAGGCTGTAACGGTGTTTATTTCTGCTGTAAAGTTGGATGTTTTAACATGGCCGTCTATGGGGATCGACTCGCTTTTGGAATCGGCCTCATGTGGCCATTTACGGAACTGCAAGACTTCCTTTTTTAGCCCCCAGAAGTTGCCACCTGGATAAAACCAGCATTCTGGAGTCAGGACTGGTTTCATGCTTTTCATAAAAGAACACTATTTAATCCTCAGCTGTCCAGGAACGAGTCTTTAAAGCATCTTTATGGGTGACTTCTTTCATTACATGTATGATGGGGTGGTTCCTGCAGAACTTCAGCCGTTACAGAACCCTGAAAATCTGCTTGAAGACATGCATATAATTCTCTGGATTATTAATTTATACCTGAGGATCAGATCCAGTTTATTGTCATCCTGCCTGTGCATACACAGCAGTCCAGGCAGGATGAGGGAGCGTTTCTAACTTAAAGCAACTAAATAAAGAAGTGTTTGCGTATCTGGATCAGATATGATGCCATTTGATGTAAAATATTAGTCCTTAGCACTGGTTGCAGGCAACAATTTAAAGTTAGTGCTAAATATACTTCTGGAAACTTCCTGCAGATGAGTTGAATTGTGCAATACTGTACAGACCTGTGAGAGCTCACAACATTGCAATACATGGATGACCATAGGAATGTAGGAAGCAGCAGCTGTGAGTGGTGGACTGGAACACGCCACAGTAAGATGCACTGCAGAAGGATAATGTTAGCCTGCAACTCTGAAAGCCCTGCTATTCACTTTGAGCCAGACAAAAGCCTCAAATTGCTGTTACATGACTGGCGAGGTGCATGTCAGCTGCAGTGGAGCCTCCAGCGAGGTCCGACCGGACCACAGCTGCTCTGTGAGCTGTTCGGCAGTCACGCTGTAACCTTTAAGTCAGAACTAGTAATGTAGCTTTAGGATTGCATTTATGCATGCAACATATAGAGATTTGTCTCCTATGTGAATGTTAAAGCTCTCCAAGCACTAAAAGAATTTCATCCCAGCTGAGCATCAGGCAGCTCCTCGCTGCTCCACGCTGCTCCACGCTGCTCCACGCGGCTCCACGCGGCTCCACGCTGCGCTCAAAACCACACAGCAATTTGCGTTAGCTTTTTGAAAAGGGCTCAGCATTTTCATAGCGTTCTCATATTTAATATTAGAAACTCTGCAATGCATCTCGATTTGTCAAAGTCTGATTCTGCTAAAGGTTTGAAAAGACATTCTTGAGATGTAATACACAAAGTCAGGTTTGAATGTGTCTGATATTTTGAGAAAGAACAGCTTGAAGAAATGACAGAACATGTTGAAACGTGTAGCTTCACCTCAACATCATGTTGAGTTTTCCAGTCAAAAGCAGGTGCTGAATGCGTTGCAGGCTAACATTGGAGCAGCAAGGCTCCTTCTCTGTGCATGCTTCAGGGAAACGGGAGGGAAGGCAAGCTGTGGTGTATGACAAGTGAAATTGCACTAAAAATCACAGTTGTATGATATTTGAGAGCATACAGTACATTTTAGACTTAGCATTTATTCTTGTTCCTGATGATAATATGAGTGTTAATGACTTTTCCAAGGAGTGATGAATACACACACATTCAGTTGCTGTTGTGTTCTTAATTTATTCTGTTTTCCATTTTAATCATTTGCACTTGAAATGAATGGATGTGTGTTTAAATGACATTTATGCTTGTCAAGATTGCAGATAGATAAGGATGTATTTTTGTTCAATGAGTGAGAAGATCTCTGCTGTAACAAAGCCTGTCATCCCAAAAGCACCTCTGCATTATGAACGGACCACAGAAATCTGCATTTAAATACACACTGTGTACATGAAGCAGCTGCAGAGCACCAACCCTGCTGCACCTTCTGGTCCTACACGCAGATGATCTGAGTGCTGAGATGCTTTTGAAAGTGGGCCACACTCTGCTGAAAATGTGAATTGTTTTAAATGGATTTTTTTCTTTTTTGCAAAGACTAAAGTGTTGTTACAGAGAGTCACAGAAACTGGAATGTACTCCACCTGTGTATGAGATATTTAAGTGGTTAAAACCAAATAAAAGCTAAAAACACACCTCCGATCATTTCCTTCAAGTGCATCTTGAATTTGTGAGCATTTACTTTTTGCAAATACGCGCTCTTCAGCATTTTACCGTTTACATCCCTCCTGAAGCAGAGACTTCCAGCTTAGCGACCGGCGCAGCAGCTCCGTCAGCTGGAGGGTTAGCGTTAGCGTCAGCATTAGGGTTAGCGTTAGCTTCATGCTGCATCACAATCAGACGAACGTCAGAAATGGATTCAATGCACACTATGCAGAATTTTACTAAACTACCAGACTTATGTCCTCTCAGTTATCATTTATGATCCATAAGAAGTGTGTGATGGTGTGTTTGTCTGTTTTTTCCTGTTTTCTTCATATTTCATGGTGGTCACAGCGTTTCTGTCCTCCAGCCAGGAGCAGCATGCAGGTGATGTTTGGACTCAGTAAGAAGTTGGCCATCAGTTTCCAGACGGTAAACAGCCACAAAATGGTAGACATAGCACCAAAACATACGAATACACCAACTGACAAAGGTCAGACTGGAAGGACAGTGACAATCTGGGGTTCAGCCGCTGAACCAGAGGATGGGATCTGGCCCGTTTACTGTTGGACAGGTAAGATCCACCAGTTAGCCTGGTTAGCTTCCTAAAGCGTAGAACCAGAACGGACACTAGTCCACTATCTGAAGCTAGAAGAAGATCGTCAGTGACCTTCACCAGTGCTGTCTCTGTACTATGATGAATTCTAAATCCTGACTGAAACTCTTCATTCAAGCCATTTACATGCAGATAATCACATAGTTGGTTTACCACGACCTTTTCAAGGATTTTTGAGATAAAAGGAAGGTTGGATGTTGGTCT